AAAGTTTGCTCCGACACCGATTATGTGTCATCCTAAGGTCATTAGGGAATAATTTGCACACCATTGACATGTCACATATTTTCTGACACATGCCGATTCTATCCTATACTCTCACTTTTCAGAAGTCACTGTTACTGCCTTCCTGGGAATCTATGCTTACCCTGGAGAGGGTCCATTTCTGCCCAGATATTGTCTCCCAGGGTTAAGAACAAGGCCTAACACATGAGATAAAATAGATGTACTTATTTATTTTTTAAATTCAATTCATATGAATGAAAGCAGGCTGCTGCTGTGAAAAAGTGCAATGAATATCCATTCAACATGTAAAATATGTTAAATACATATAAGAGCTTACATTCTAGTTGGGGAAAGATCATAACAAATTATAAATATTTGATGTGATATACAAGAAGGTGACTATCCCTGGCTGGTGTGGCTCAGTTGGTTGGAGCGTTGTGCTGTACAACAAAAGATCGAGGGTTCTATTCCCAGTCAGGACACATACCTGAGTTGCAGGTTCGATGCCCACTTGGGGTGCATACAGGAAGCAACTGATCTCTCTCTCTCTCTCTCTCTCTCTCTCTCTCCCTCTCTCTCTCTCCCTCTCTCTCCTTCTTTCTCTCAATCAATGAACAAATCCTCAGGTGAGGATTTAAATAAAAAAAGAAGGAGCTGATGTCAAAGCAGCTACTAGATGCCACTAGATATCGAGTGATACCACTAGAATGACTATGATTATGGGGTAATGTTTTAAAACGTTGAATTAGGGTGAAGGATTTGTAGTGACATGCTGAAAACTTTGCTAGAGCTCTTGGGGAGAAGGGTCATTAATGTGGAGGAGATTTAGCCTTGGACTCTAAGGGGTGGCTGAATTAGAGACTCCTACCCTAGATAAATGGGGAGGGGGCAGTTGCAGTGTTTCTGAATTCACCAGCTCTCTGGATGCCAAAAACAGGTCCTACTTTCTTCATTGCCAGCTCATGACCCAGGACACCAAGGGAAGTATCTAGGATATTGTCTGAAAACTTCAAAGGAAATCCTTTCTGCACTTCACTTCCAAGGAGACACTTTCATTTTATTATCTAACCTGCAGAGAGGCATAGATTTTGCCTTATTATAAGTCCAGGTGTGAAGAGAATACTCAATTGTGGGATACAGATGTCTGACACTTAGGGTAACCAGCTGACCTGACAGTTCCATCAAGCAGATGCAACTTGTGTTCCTTTCTCTAACTCCCTGACTGTTGCTCAGCTCTTGGGTCACCCTTAAACATGGGTGGAGTCACTGCCCGCCCATGTGTGGGGCTCTGCCTTCTCTGTACCTTTCTCTTTCTGTGATCATTATGATGGCAGGTGTTTTGACATCAACGCCTTGTAGTCCCACTCTGATGTGAGGTCCACAACCCCGTGGGAGAAAGCATGCTCTGTTCCTCTCTCCTCCGTAGGTTCTTGGTATTTTTCAGCATCGGTTGGATATTGAACAGAATAAAAGATAATAGAGAAGTGCACACCTGTGGTTGGCTCAGATCTTCCATTGTAAGCACGGGTAGAAATTATCATTTTATGTAAACTCCTGTTTTTGTTAGTCACCAGAGCTTGATCTAATCAATTGCCACCACAGAAAGGGGCTAATAGTATATGGACTTTAGACAATTTTTAGTATCTGTACCTTTGGCTGGATTGCTCCTATCAACCCCCGTTCATGGAAGTCTTATTCCTCATCAGGTTCACCTCATGAATCATTAGAGACGTGGGTAGATTCCTAGGCCTACAGGTATCTCTATACAGTTTTCATTATATCCCCATCCTTTCTTTTTAGAGCAAGGAGAAGGGGAAGATTTATAGTTTGTTACATACCTCAGATCTTTCACTATCAAATCCTTCAACTATATTAATAACCTAATGCTGCTGTAACAAATTACCACTAATTGGATGGGTTAAAACAACAGGGATTTATTCTTTCACAGTTCAGGACAACAGAAGTCCAAAGTCAAAGTAGTGGTAGAGTTGAATTCTCCAGGAGCCTCTGAGGAGAATCTGTCCCCTGTCTCTCTCTTAGTTTCTGGTGGTTTCCAGCCATCTCAACAGTCCCTGCCTTGATTCTATATTACTCCAACTTCTGCCACCATTGTTACATGGCCTTCTTTCTTATGTGTCTGTGACCCTTTCGTCTTCTTATATTAACTCTGGTCATTGGATTTAGAGCCTACCCTCTTCCAGTATGACCTCATCTTAACTTGATTACATCTGCAAAAACCTCAATGCAAAATAAGGCTACATTCACACAGGCAAACATATTTGTGTGAGGGACACAATTTCAGTCCATTAGAAGACATTCATAGCCACTGAGGTCTTCTCCCCTCACCTTACAGCCCCTTGTCCATATTTAGTCCAGGCTGTAAGAGTCAGTGTCACCATACTACTGCTCTGTGGCATGTCTTCTGATTGACCACCAGCTATACTTTCAGGTTTGGTTTGTCATTCCTACTCATGTGACAACAGGACATAACCAGCCAGGTTTATGTAGTTTAGCAAAGGCCTATAAGATAGGAGACACAGCACGTTGGCATGACTGCCTCAGGTGAGCTCTAATGAGGGTTTGTACAGAGATCTAGCAAGTACTTTATACCCCCTATGACAGGTCTTTTGTAAACAGGAGACTGTCACTTTTATATCATTTAGGAAGTGTCACATTTCTAGACCATTTAGGTTCCTGTATTGCAAAAGGCCTAGCAGCTCTCTGCACACCAGCCACAGTGGTGTTCTAAAATTAGTAGAAGATGCTGTGTCCTTCATCAATAGGGCATTCTTCTCCCTAAAATATTTTTCCTCTTTACCATTCCATATTCCCTTATCATCTTTTATCTTTCAGCCTAATCCAGCCGTGGGCAAACTACGGCCCGCGAGCCGGATTCGGCCCGTTTGAAATGAATAAAACTAAAAAAAAAAAAGACCGTACCCTTTTATGTAATGATGTTTACTTTGAATTTGTATTAGTTCACACAAACACTCCATCCATGCTTTTGTTCCAGTCCTCCGGTCCAGTTTAAGAACCCATTGTGGCCCACAAGTCAAAAAGTTTGCCCACCCCTGGCCTAATCCTTACTTATTCAAAGGCGATTTTTTGATGATCTCCTATTAAATTTCCCCAAAACGTGCAATTCTGTATGGTAGTGTTTATCATACCTACCAGACCTTGAAAGAGGACCCCAAGGACATTATATTCACTCCAATTCACTTACTAAATTGAATAATCTCTGTAATTCAATTGATTTCATGTACAGATAAGAAAAAAGGTATTCTTATTTTTTATAGATTTTTACATGAGGAATAAATAAGTCAAAGTGATGTGTAATTGTAACTGGTTAATAATTGTTAGTAATAAGATTACTTCCCTACAGTGGTCCTTGCTGTTTCTATCAATGTTGCTGGGAAGTAAATAAGAGAGGGCTTTGTGTGGGACAGACTGGAAACCATTTCTGTGGTCCCAAAGCTCACCTATCGGTGAACTGCTAATGAAAGGAAAGAAAAGATAAAACACTGATTTAAAAAAAATAAAAGTCTAATCGCCTGTAGAGAAATGAGGTTCTTTGTATATTTATCAAGCATTGTGTTCCCAGACAAAGTGCCTGGTCTATGTGTGGATTACACTTTAGGAGTAGGATATTTAAGGAAGGATATCATCTACACTAATAAAATGGTAATTGGCGTACGACCACTACCCTTCCCATTGGCTAATCAGCATATCCTTATGCAAATTAACTGTCAGCCAAGCTTTTACTTGTGCCATTCTTATACCATATCCTTTCGATCTGCCCATCCATCTAGGAATCTTTAAACAGGAAGACCCTCAGGAAGAAACCAGGGGAGCAGCTGCCATGGCTTTAAAATTCCTGGTGAACATGAAGGAGAAGGTGACTTGTGCCATCTGCCTGGAACTTTTGACAGAACCCCTGAGTCTAAACTGTGGCCACAGCTTCTGCCAAGCCTGCATCACTGACAACAAGGCGTCAGAGATCGGCCCAGGAGGGGAAAGCAGCTGTCCTGTGTGTGGTGTCAGATACTCGTTTGGAAACTTATGGCTTAATCAGCATCTAGCCAACATAGTAGAGAGGGTCAAAGAGGTCAAGTTAAGCCCAGAGGAAGGGCAGAAGAAAGATCTCTGTTTGAGCCATGGAGAGAGACTCCGACTCTTTTGTAAAGAGGATAGGAAGGCTATTTGTCAGCTCTGTGAGTGGTCCCGGGAGCACTGTGGTCATCAGATATTCCTCATGGAGGAGGTAGTCAAGGAATGCCAGGTAAGGCCCAGGATGGAAGGAGATGAGGTGAAAGATAGTACGTGCTGGGAAATCTCACCTTTCCATCCTTCTTTACACACCACAACATCTTAGTACTGACTCCTGTACTTTCCTTCCATGTGTCTCTTACCCTATGTTTGGCTTCCCAAGCCTGAGGGACATCACTGTGTATTCCTTCCATTTGCATAAAGGATGAGCCTAAGTACAGACTTTGGCCAAGAGTGAAAGGTTTTCCTCTTTTCTCCTTCGTCATGTGGATAGAGAATTTCTTTCACAAGTTTAGCTCTCATTGCTCCTCCCAGCAGGATGGTTGCTGTTGAACATTGGGAATGGGATGTGGAAAGAGTTTTAATAAGAAGATAGGACTTTCCTTGGCCATAACAGAATCAACATTTACTCTAAAAAGAAAGAAAATCAGGTTACTCTTGGTGAGGAGGTAGTGACTTTCATCCCCCAGGAATAAAGAAAACATTCACCTCCTCAGATTTTCTCCCAGGATCTATAAATCCTAAGTGACCAGTTGACTGTTCAACCATCCAACTGGTAGCTATGACATGCACTGACCACCAGGAGCCAGACGCTCAACACAAGAGCTGCCGAGCTGTGGTGACTTGGCAGCTGCAGTTCTCGAGTGACACACCTGGAACCAGAGAGGAGGGAACCCAATTCAGGGGTACGTCACCTGAGAACTGCCCTCTCACAATTTGGGACCCCTCAGGGGATGTTGGAGAGCCTGTTTCGGCCTGATCCCTGCAGGCTAGGCCGAGGGACCCCACTGGTGCACGAATCTGTGCACTGGGCCTCTAGCCCATTGGCTCCCCACTTTGGGTCTGGCTCCCCATCGGGCCTCTAGGCCATTGCAGAGGTCATGGGTTTGGCCCTTACAGAATCTTTACTTGATTAGCTAAATGATGAGACATGCAGGACCTACCGGCTGTGGCCCCAACATATGGTGCCCTCACTGGCCCATCTGCTTAATATGGATTTCCAGTGGAGGCAGCAAATTTTCCTGCTACCACTCTCGGCTGGGAAACTGGCCGTGGCTTCCCTCCTTCCAGGTGGACAATAATGCCAGAGGGCAACCTCCGGGGAGGGAAGGAGGTGAAGGAGCAGCTGAGGTGGGAAGAAGGAGGTTCCCGCCGCCATAAGACTCTGCCTGTTTGGAAGGGCTGGGGTGGGAGCCTGACATTGGGAGGGTCCTACCCTAGGCCGATTAGATTCCAGGCTAAGTAAATCCTATTTGCTAAATAATTGCATTTTGTAGCTAAATGCCCACAAGTCATCAGTTACCACCAAACTTAGGGTAAAGTGGGATGAAAGAAGCGAAACAGATGGGGCAGCACCTTTATATATACCTGAAACATGTAGAGATTGGATTGAGAGAAACAGATATTCTACAAGGTCTTGGCTTCCCAAGCCTGAGGGACATCACTGTGTATTCCTTCCATTTACATAAAGGATGAGCCTAAGTACAGGCTTTGGCCGAGAGTGAAAGGTTTTCCTCTTTTCTCCTTCATCATGTGGATGGAGAATTTCTTTCACAAGTTTAGCTCTTATTGCTCCTCCCAGCAGGATGGTTGCTGTTGAACATTGGGAATGGGATGTGGAAAGAGTTTTAGTAAGAGGATAGGACTTTCCTTGGCCATAACAGAATCAGTATTTACTCTAAAAAGAAAGAAAATCGGGCTACTCTTGGTGAGGGGGTAGTGATTTTCATCCCCCAGGAATAAAGAAAACATTCACCTCCTCAGATTTTCTCCCAGGTCATAGATTATAATCACCAGATTCTAATCAGTAACCCAGTCTCTTCTGAGATCAGCCTTATTTATTCCTCATTTATTCTCTTTCTAGGTGCTAAGAAAAGCCATGGCTTGACTCTGGTATGATTCCTCTCTCTCACAGGAAAAGCTCCAGGCCGCTCTGGACAGGCTGAGGAAGGAGCATCAGGAAGCTGAGAAGTTGGGCACTGACATCAGAGAAGAGAGAACTTCCTGGAAGGTAGGAAGAAACTCTTCCTGGGGAATTTCTGACTTAGGAATCTTGGCAGGAACTTCCACGCCAATCACAAGGAAGCCCCTTTTCTCTTCATTCCCTGACATTGAATGAGTCCAGAAGCCATTTGATTAGTTCTCTTCCTTGTCCTGTCTCTGTTGGGGATGAGGGCAGGAGAGTAGATGTTACAAGTAAATATATTACAATTACAAATTCTACACACAGATATTTGGAATTGAGAGCAAAAACAGTCTTAATGGTGAGGAAGACTGAAGAATTCTGTCTTCCATTCCTGTTTTCCAGTGAGGCCCTGACACTTCCAGTGGAAGGAAGACAAGATTCAAGGTTCAAATGTGAGAGTGTGGGAAGGCATGAATGTCCAGGACAACTGTCTATAACCTAAACCTCACTCCAGTTTCACATTTGTTCCAGGGTTGCCCTAGATAAGAGAGCCTGAGGCCTTTTTGGTTTGTACTGAAAAGGAAAAACAGCTTTCCCCAAAATTGCTACCCTGTTTCTACTCCTTTTCTGGTTAGAATTACCTGAAAAAAATTTTTTTTTCTGTCTCCTAATCCCTTTCACAGGAGGCTCTCAATCTGAGAGACTCATTACTTCTCTCTCTTGTTTCCCCTTGCAGAATCAGATACAGGCTGAGAAACAAAGGATACAAACAGAATTTAAACAGCTTAGAAGCATCCTGGACTTTGAAGAGCAAAGAGAACTGCAGAAATTGGAGGAAGAGGAGACGAAGACCCTGCAGGACTTAGCTGAGGCTGAGAATGAACTGGTTCAGCAGAGCCAGTTGCTGAAAGAGCTCATCTCAGATCTGGAGCGTCGCAGTGAATGGTCAGCCATGGAGCTGCTGCAGGTAAAAAGGGTGACCCAATCTGAGATTCTTAAAACACAGTCTAAATTGCCTTCCCATCTGTGCCCGTGGGCTCTAATCCTGGTGTTGACATTAAAAGGTTCCTTTGACCTTGTAGAGCACCTGAGAATAAAGTCAACAGATAGGGAAAAAAAGAGAATCGTGAAACAAAAAAGGCCAGGATTTGATCTGTCAGATCCATCTGTGACTAAAGTAACATCTCTCTGGACACATTTTTTTTTTTTAACTCTCTGCTAATACAGAGAACAAAACATTCCTTTGGTTGTAAACCTGGCCGGTGGCATTAAGAGTAAGGCCAAATACAGGAAGTCCCCAAAAAATGTATACACACTTTTTTTCTGATAGCTCAATTGATGTTTCTTTCTTTTCAGATTTAACCCATTGAATAATTAATAATTATTCAAAGTATGTATACATTTTGGGGACACCCTATATATTGATACATATTGTTCAAAAACAAATCAATCCATAGTGGTAATGATGTGGAAATGCAGACCACCAAAATAAGTTAAGGATATGGAAATGACGGATTGGTAAGATGTTTCAGTGTTTGTGAAAGGGACTAAATGTGTATTGTTACCATTTTGACAAGAGAGCATAAGAAAGAAAACAATGGGGATTGGTGAATAGAGATTCTGTTTTAGATATTCTGAGTTGCTGCTGTTTCTTCTTTGTTGTGGAATGTATTCTTCTGGATACATGAGGAGACACAATAGACAATGATTAGATATGTAAAGTTTGGAATCAACAGCACCTCTGCGTGAGTTAAAATTTAAAAATCTGGAAGAGGTATTCTGTACATAACATCATGCATTTTGCTAATAAAGAGAATTTTACTTCCTTTCCAATATAGATGCTTTTTACTTTCTTTCCTTGTCTAATAGACTCGATTGGAATCTTTAGTACCATGTTAACACAAGTAGTGACAGCAGACATCCCATCTTGCTCCTGATCTCAGGGGGGGAAGTACTCAGTTTTTCATTTTCGTCATTCAGTATGATGTTTGCTCGCTGTGGGTTTGTCTTAGGTGCCTTTATCAGGCTGAGGAAGTGCCCTTCTATTCCTAGTTTATTGTTATTACTGTTTTGTTTTTATCATGAAAGGCCTTGGATTTTGGCAAACGATTTTTTTTTCTGTCTTTTGAAATGGCTATGTGTTTTTTATCTTTTGTTTCATTAATATGATGTTTCATATTGATTGCTTTTATATTCAACCAATTTTGCATCTCTGGAATAAAATTAAAAAAACTTGACCATGATATATAAACTTTTCTATTTTTCTGGATTCAATCTTCTACTATTTTGTTTAACAGTTTGTTTCTATATTCATAAAGGATATTGGCCTATAGTTTACCTTTCATGTGATGTCTTTGTCTGATTTTAGCATCAGAATAGTACTGGCCTCATAGAGTGAGTTGGGAAGTGTCCCTCCTCTTCTATTTTTTTAGAACAATTTATGAATTATTTGTAATATTTCTAATTTAAACTTTTAGTAGAATTCCCCAGTAAGGCCATCTGGGATTGGATTTTTCTTTGCTGGAAATCCACTCTAATTTCTACGTGTTTTATGTCTATTCAGATTTTTCAATCCAATCTCTACATGTTTCAGGTCTATTCAGATTTTCTGATTCTCCCTGAGTCAGTATTGGTACCTTCTGTGCTTCTAAGAACTTGTACATTTAATCTAGGTTATCTAATTTATTGGCATACAATAGTCCCTAACTTTTATAATATTTAATTTCTATAAAGTCAATAGTAATGTCTCCTTTTTAATTCCTTATTTTAGTAATTTTCCTCCTCTCTCTTTTTATTCTTGGAATGTCTAACTAAAGGTTTGTCAATTTTGTTAATATTTTCAAATAACTTTATTTTTCTATCCTTTCTTTCATTAATCTTGCTCTAATATTTATACTCCTTGATTCATCTTTTTTTTCTTCTCCCTAGGATACGAGTGGAATCATGAAATGGTGCGTATGGGTGACCAGGAGTGGTGCATTTATGAAGAAAGGTTTGTGGTCATGAGAGTTATTTGGTCATCAACCAGAATGAAAACTCTTCCAAAGCAAGAAAAGTTAGATGTAGTATTATTTTAAATTACTGAGGATTTAAGTGTCCCATATTTATTGAGAATGAACCAGATTCTATGGTAGTGAATTAAATGGTTGAAATTCACAATTAGAGCCAGTAAGGATAATAGGGACAAGGGACTTCACTATCAGACTCTTATTACTACATTCAACTCTCTCTCCTTGCTCTGATTCTTATATTTCATAGATGCTTGTCTTTATCATATGCAGGGCCTTATCGAGCTCTAAAATAGGTTATGGGGCAGCACCTTTATATTTACTTTGCTTAACAGGAATAGAGGAGACCAGGCCATTCTACAAGGTTCTCTTTCGAATTCCAAAAACAGACCTTAGCCTTGTGGTTTGTGGCTTTGACCTTTGTGCCAATAATTAATGTCTCTTATCCACACACTTTAAAAGCTTAAATAGGAAAGTGTAGCCTTTGTGTCTGAAGACGCCAGTTCGTCTGGCAGCTTCAAGTTCTTTACAAACACATGAGAGTCTAACCATTTTTGCCCAGTAGACAACTTTTCCTTTGCCAAGTGTTTTTAACTTTTCCCAGAATACCTGAAATCTCAATGTTATTTGTGGGCCACACCACTGGAGTTCAGGCTTTAGACTAGGGCACAGGCTCAAAGGCTTTCCAAAAGGAGACCTGTATCCCAGTCAGGATCTGCAGCCTCACCCCTGATCTGCCTGGAACCCACATCTGGGGCCTTTTTATGAGAGACTCATTATGATGTGGAAAATGACAAATATTATATACCATTTTAGAGGTAGCAAAGGTTTTTCTTATACATTATTTCATCTAATTCCTATTCTTTCCATGAGGTATCAAGGGCAAATAATTATGTATTATATTTTTTAGAAGAAGAAACTCTTACTTTAAGGCAGCAGTTCTCAACCTGTGGATTGCGACCTCTTTGGCGGTCGAACGACCCTTTCACAGGGGTCGCCTAAGACCATCCTGCACATCAGATATTTACATTACAATTCATAACAGTAACAACATTACAGTTATGAAGTAGCAACAAAAATAATTTTATGGTTGGGTCACAACATGAGGAACTGTATTTAAAGAGCCAGAAGGTTGAGAACCACTGCTTTAAGGTGAAGACCTTCCCAAGGTCAAACAGAGGGTAACTGGGAAAGTAGACATGAGCACATTTTTTCTGGCTCTAGAAGTAGGAGACTTCCTTCTCCCCTCCTCAGGCTTCTCAGAGAAGCAGGTTCAACTGCATTAATGGCATGAAAGGAGAGGAAGAAAGTGGTATTAGAAGGACAAAAAGGTATAAGATGTAGGATCAACATTTTTTTGTTGTTGTTATCCCTAGGAGCGAGGTGTGGACATTGAAGAAGCCAAAAACTATTTCCAAAAAACTGAAGCATGGATTCCATGCTCCAGATCTGAGTGGAGTGCTGCACATGTTTAAAGGTGAGAAGAGCCAGGGCAGGAATGTGGATGTAGGATGTTTATGGTGTCAGGGACTAAACTGGGGTGTGGGTCGGGGGCTGGTATAGTCTCACATGAGGATAGAAAGGAGGGTGTTCAGAGAAGGGATGTTGCTGATGGAGATGTGGTTAAGGGAGAATGGCTAGATTCTGGTTCATTCTCTTAGCCTCACAGTCTTCTCCCCTTCCCCTACTCTAGAGACAAGCTATCAGTGTTTAATCATTTGCTTCTAATAAACATTATTAAATCTTTTATTTTTTCAGAGCTAACACATGTCCAGCGCTACTGGGGTAAGAAGTTACTAGGTCTTCAAATCACTGTGTTCTGATCCCCTTTCAGAAGTTTGTGGTTTCAATGAGATCTGATGATCTTAGCCCTAGGTGTCTCCCTCACTTCCCAATATGTATGTATAATACACTAGTGGCCTGATGCACAAAATTTGTGCACAAAGGGGGGGTTCCCTCAGCCCAGCCTGCACCCTTTCCAATGAGGTATCCCTTGGGGGATGTCCGACTGCCAGTTTAGGCTCAATCACTCTCACAATCTGGGACCACTGGCTCCTAACCACTCACCTGCCTGCCTGCCTGATCACCTTTAACTCCCTCTGCCTGCCTGATCTCGCCCCCAACTGCCCTCCCCTGCCAGCCTGATCTCATCCCAACGGCCCTACCTGGCCAGCCTGATCTTGCCCCCAACTGCCCTCCTCTGCAGGCCTGATCTTGCCCCCAACTGCCCTCCTCTGCTGGCCAATTTGGTTCTGATTGGTCAGTTTTTATGCCAGTCGGTGTCAAAAACCCCACCTCCTAGGCAGCCATTGGTTCCTCAGACTTCATTCAGATTTGGTTCTGATTGGTCAGTTTCTATGCCAGTCAGCGTCTCTGAGCCTATCAATGGGGCCTGATCAGAAAGGCGGGGCTGATCAGCAGCCCTGGTGGAGGCCTGGAGAAAAATGGAGGCACGGATGCTGGCCAGACTAGGAGAGAAAGAGAGGCAAGTGCTGATCATAAGCTGCCACATAGGCAATGGATCAGTCCCTGCTTCTTTCTTCAGGCCTCTCTCTGTCCCTGATTCACAGCCCCCTCAGCAGTCAGTACTGGGGCACCATGCCTGCAGCAGACTGCAGGACTGACTTCCAGTTGGTGGAGCCTCGGTCATTACTGGTCGTTACGACCCAAGGTTTTTATATATTAGGATTACTCCAGAGCTTTATCCCACTTGTCCAATCATCAATACAAGTTCTTCCTAGTCAGCTTCCAAGTTCCCTCTCCAAGTCACCAGATAAACCAACACCTGTATCTGTAGCTAATCATCTTTTTCTTTTTCTCTGCAGTGGACATGACATTTAACCCATTCAACTTAAATTTGAATCTCAACCTTTCAGAGGATCACAGACAGTTGGCATCTGTGCCAATTTGGCCTATAAAGTATTATAATTATGGTGTGTTAGGCTCCCAATATTTCTCATCAGGAAAACACTACTGGGAAATAGATGTGTCCAAGAAGACTGCCTGGATCCTGGGGGTATACTGTAGAAAACGTTCCTGTAATAAAAAGTTTGGTGTTAGACGAGGCACAAATTATCCAAATGCTTATTCCAGATTCAGACCTGAAAATGGCTACTGGGTTGTAAGGTTACAGAATGAATCTGAGTACAATGCCTTTGAGGACTCTTCCACCTCTGATCCCAAGGTCTTGACTCTTTCCATGGCTGTTCCCCCCCGCCGTGTAGGGGTTTTCCTAGACTATGAAGCAAGCACTGTCTCATTTTTTAATGTCACAAACCATGGGTCACTCATCTACAAGTTCTCTAAATGTCACTTTTCTCAGTCTGTTTATCCCTATTTCAATCCTTGGAACTGCCCAGCTCCCATGACTCTGTGCCCACCGAGCTCCTGAACATTCTCCTTCCCTCACCTACTTCTGTGTAGCAAACCTTGTCCTGAGGCTCATCTCCTGCACCTGAGCTGATTTCTACATTTAAACCTTCTCTTCCTTGTTGTCTCTCTTCTTTAGAACATTTACCCGTTCTTGGGATTTGCAACTCTTTCTGGATTAAGTTAGAAGAGAATCTTATTTACCCAGTTACCCTTTTCTGTATTCTCAGTGACAGACATTGAATCCCTCTTAAAGACAAAGTAATATTGGTGTAACATCTCTGCCCTGATATTTCTCCATATTTTCCTTTATCACTGATTTTGAGAGGTATGGCAAAACCTGTCTAAAACCACGCATGAACTTAGGATAATCCATAATCGCCCCACCCACCAAAAACTAAGGAGTATTTGAGTGCATGCCTGTTTGTTGCACAGCATACAGCAGTGTCATCAGACAGTTGAGAAAAAAAACCCAAATGTTATATATGTACCCAGAGTAAAAAATTTATGTTCAGAGTGTTTGATTTTAAATATCTTCTCTTACATGGTGTGTAACAATGAATACATTTTTGTTTCTTTTTATAAAACACAAATTGTAATTTTTAAACTGTATCCAACTCTTAAGATTGTTGTATGAAACTGTCACTCAATGTAAAGTACCTATTTAAGGGTCCTGCATGATATAATAAACATTTCTCTCCTGATCACAGAAATGTATAAGCTGTGTTAGTATCCTGTGCAATGGATGTGTGCCCTTCAGAGGAATAGAAAATAGAAAATGATCCTACCCCTGGTTTGGATCATGCTGGAGTCATAAAACAGGGGTAGATATTAAATGGTATCTACGCTGATACAATATCTATCTCTGATCTTGCTGTTCATCAGAGCCTGATCTGGACCACAGTCTCTGTGGCCAGTTCTAA